GGGGAGGGGGGAGCGGAGGGAAGGTTGGGGGAGGGAGGAAGAAAGGGAATAAATTAGGGAGACAGGATGAATTGGGGAGATAGGGGGAGACAAAAATAAGTGGACGAGTGATGGGGTGTTTCACCGGTTTAGAGCCAATAACCTCCGTTCACCAGGGGAGGAGTGTGTCCCTGCACCACCTGCACCTGCCCTCACCACCTGCACCTGCCCCTCACCACCTGCACCTGCCCTGCACCACCTGCACCTGCCCTGCACCACCTGCCCCTCACCACCTGCCCCTCACCACTACCTCTCCCCCTCACCTTAACACAAGTCCCGCCACTGACAAGGGCCGCTCGTAACTATTAATTATATTACACAAAGTAGAGAAGAATTCCTCTCACGCTCCGCTGCCTCCTGTCTTCCAAGACAACTTGGCACACCAACAATAAAGAAAAGAGAACGAAAGAAAGAACAGAAAAACGGTAACGAGAAGAAGCGAAAGTCGAGATCACGAATAAGGAATAAGAAGCGGAACGAACGAATAACATGCAAGTTAGATCACTCTCTAACGAACGAGAGAGGTCGGCTAAACACCGAGGAAGAGCTAGAGAGAGATCGACTAACGAATAACAAGACGAATTCAATAAGTTAGCGAGAGAGAGACCCCAAAGGCACCTCGCTACACGCCTCGTTCAAGCAGCGTGTCTCCCCCCCCCCCCCGGGCGCCTGGCCAAGGCACCTCGCTACACTCCCGCACATCAATATCACCCCGGCAAGTAATGTCTCCACGACCTGTCGCAGGTTTTGCGCGGGGCGCCGTGACACTCCCGAAGCTGCGGGGCGTTGAGCTGAGAGACGGACGACCGTCGGAGTGTGAGTTTTGAAAGGGGATATGTGTTGGCTCAGACGTGGAGGCTAATTCGAAGACACATGCTCCTGTACGGGCCTTCCGTCGGGGCCCCCTTCCGTCGGGGGTCCTCCTGTAGGGGCCTTCCCTTCGGGGGCCCTTCCCCTAGGGCCCCAGGCAGGAGTGGACTGAGACAGAAGGAACTAAAAGCGAGCTTTGTATACTCTGAGTCTTCATGAGATTTGTGGGGTCTGTTTTACTCTACATTTCGTTCTCTGTATTTTGTTTGTGTCTCTGTTAATGTCTTTGAGTCTGTCCGTTTTTCATGTTTGCTTTTATGTTGGTGTTAAAGAGATTTATTATATGCCTTCTAATGATTTTATTTTTTTCATCTCTATGTCCTCTCAGTGAGTTGAATTAATCATATAAAAATAATTGAAAATATTCAATGGTGTATGCTTCCATTAATGTGTGTATGATGCTTCCCCCATGTATGTCTGTATATTTCCTAATATAAATGTGTGTTTCCATATACAGTAAGAATGTATTTTTACAGATATGCATGTATATTTGCATGTATGAGTGTATGTTTCCAAGCATAAGTGTATATTTCAGAGAATGCGTGTGTGTTTCTGTGTACGTGGCTGTCTGGTGTGTGTGTGAGTGTGTGTGTGAGTGTGAGTCCTTGTGACAACGGGGCATCACAATGTGACCGCTTTTCACTCCAGTTTTTACCAAAATTCTTGTTATAATTCCCCCCCCCCTCCCCTCGGGGCTCGTGTCTGTTTCAGTCCCAAAGGTTGTGTCCCCTTAAACACCCCCGCCCCCCCACTCCTTCATTACAATCTTAACAGCCTTAGACAGGTGCTCACAGGTGTACAGATGTGCAGAATCTCAACCAGTGTACAGGTTCCTGAGTCTACTGGGCTCTATCATATCTACACTTGAAACTGTGTATGGAGTCAGCCTCCACCACATCACTTCCTAATGTATTTCGTCTGTTAACTTAAAACATTCTTTCTAATGTTTCTGTGGCTTATTTGGGTACTAAGTTTCCACCTGTGCCCTTTTGCTCGTGTTCCACCCGTGCTAAATAGTTTGTCTTTATCCTCGCTGTAAATTCCCTTGAGAATTTTGTAGGTGGTTATCACGTCTCCCCTTACTCTTCTGTCTTCTAGGGACGTGAGGTTTAGCTCTGGTAGTCTTTCCTCGTTTGTTCAGGTCGTCCTGTAGTCTCTGTCTTCATCTGTCTTGATTCTTCTCATAATTTTTGCATCAGCAAACATTGAGAGAAATGAGTCTATACCCTCTGGAAGATTGTTTACAGATAATGCCACCACACAGTGATAGGTAGAGATATTCCAGGCGGGGAGGATGGGCAGTAGAGACGAAGAGAGATGAGGAGGAGACGAAGAGAGATGAGTTGAGAAGAGAGAGAGAGATAAGGAGATGGAGAGAGCATGATCCAAGATGGTAACTGCATGTCTTGTAACCGCCTGAGCCCCCAAGATGCTTTTGTTTACATGCGGAAACCAGAGCACCAGTACTCACCTCCCCCTTCCCCACCCCCACACCCCACACCCCACACCCCACACCCCACACCCCTTGTCATAGGGGGGGGGTGAGGCTTGGGGGTATAAAAGCCAGGCTTACCGTGTGCCACTCGTCACTCATCGGCTGTCCTTCGCCTCCCTGACACAACTCTCTCACTCAGCATGAAGCTCCTGGTGAGTCACCTTCACTCATGATGCTCATTTCAGTTCTTGATAAAGAAATTATGTCATATTCAATAACACACTAAGACACACACTAAAAGCATAACTGGGTATGCTGGTATACTGCAGCATACTCTATGCTGGTATACTGCAGCATACTCCACGCTGGTATACTGCAGCATACTCCACGCTGGTAAAAGTTACAACAATCATTTACTAGAGCCTAAATAATGAGTCATTTACATCGCTGTGAACCGCCTGCCTGAGACCAGTTTCAGAGCTTTTCGAGCGTTTCAGGGGACATAAGGAAGCTCGAAGAGGTCTCGAAGTTTACAACGAGACTCGTCCCAGAATTGCGAGAGATGAGGCACGAAGACAGACGGAATGAACTAAACCTGACGACGCTAGAAAGGAGGAGAAAGAGAGGCGACATGACAGAGACATATACTTAAGGGAAGTCAACCAAACCCCCCCCCCCCCATTAGAACGTCGCATTTTGACGTATACGCTACTTAAAGCCAACAACTGTCACACTAGAAAATGGTAGCGACTCACGAAATTGACACACTGTCCCGTTTTCTGTTTTGGGTCATATCTACATATCTAAATATGTAGAAATGTTTTTAAATGTTAAGGAGCACTTTAGTACAACAATTTCTTGTCGTTGGGAAACTTTAAGAGGACGAGCTGGATTGACAGTGTGGAAAAGAGAAAATGTTCACAATGAAGACCAATTGAACACCGAGACATAGATGGAAGCTGGAGACCCAGACGACAAATAATGTTAGAAAGTTTTATTTTAACGTAAAATTAGTGGGAAAATGGAATGAACTTAAGGAGTTGGATATAGATGCAAACTTCAATTCATAACTTACAAAGTAGCTATGATATAGAAACAGGCCAGAAGTCATTGCATTAGACAACTGGCGGCTAGAAAATCGGGGTTCAAGAGCTAGAGGTCGATCCTACAGACGCAAATCAGTGAGAACAAATAGGGTGAACACACACACGAACCCAAAGTGAACACAAAGGGGCATTTAAGCAAGACCCGGCCTGCAGTATCTCTCTGAATATTTGTGTAGTATTTTTCAGTCATTATTCTTCTCTCTAAAGACCATATCTTGGTCAATGCCTTACACAGCGGATCAATATGTGTCAAGTTCCTGAGTTATATTGATCAGTGGTCTTGGTATGCAATAGAAAACGCAGAGTTAATATTCTCGCTCGCTGTGGAGTCGGGGTAACTGCTTTAATGCTCCTTGCCTGGCTAAACTGGTCAAGATATATGGTGAAGAAGTTTTTGGTGTGTGTCTGCTGCTGCTTGCTGCGTCTGGCGCTGCTTGCTGCGTCTGGCGCTGCTTGCTGCGTCTGGCGCTGCTTGCTGCGTCTGGCGCTGCTTGCTGCGTCTGGCTACAATGTACAAATGATTCTGCTGATTTTTGTTGTCTTTACAAAGACTGGAAATATATTAACTAGTGTTGCTCTGATTGCATTAAATTGTATTACTCTGATTGTATTACCTAGTGTTGCTTTATTTGATTAACTAGTGTTTCTGAAACAATTAACTAAAACAGTTTTGATTACTGCTAATGGGGAATCAATAGGGATTTAGAAATGTTAGTCCTGGTATTGCCTTATTACAGCATGTACTTCTGGCATAGTGATTTATCTTGATGATTACTTAACTGACTTGTTTGCTGCAGGTGGTGGTTGTCTTGGGTCTGGTTGTCCTGGCCGCTGCCCGCCCGTCTGACATCATTGACATCGAGGAGGACCATCTGGAGCACGAGCAGGAGGGCGTCCCGGGCACGGCCGTCGAGGGCGAGTACTCTTGGGTAGCGCCTGACGGTAATGAGTACAAGGTCAAGTATATCGCTGACCACCTTGGTTACCGCGTCCTCGAGGACAACGTCGTGCCCGAGGTCCCCGAGCTCGAGGACTACTAGGACCCTCGAAGATCACCGTCCTCGAGGACAACGTCGTTTCCGAAGTCTCCGAGCTCGAGGTCAACTAGGGCCCTCGAGGAGAACCGCCGTCAAGGAGGACACAGTGCTGAAGAGATCAAAATGTCCCGCAACACGCAGGAAAAACCTTTTACAGTAAAAAATTTCAAACCTGCAAAATGTCCAAAATGTAAAAACAAAATATTTTTCTCAAATGATATAAATAAGAATAATTAATATAATTCGTAATATTTGTATATTTATTCCCCCCCATTATTCACGTTAGATACAAGATGTAATAACTGGTGGAAGCAACACCTTTGCAACTGCGACCCCAGTTGCACGGTCCAACCCGTACTCGACTCAGGTCCATTACATCCAGCGGTCGACCCCACACGCGCATTCATAAAATTTAATTTGCTGTTTATCCAAAACGGTAATTTTCTCAAATATAAATTAATATTGTAAGATATTAGCATATTGTGTATATATTGGCATAGGTTAGGTTAGGTGTTTAGGCTCTGTTCGCGATTATTTGTATTTGTAGTACTTGGATGAAGCATTTACAGGGTTGTGGTTCGAACAAAATTCGTCAGTGAAGCTCTTGTTCCGGAAGTGTTCGGAAGTCATCAGTTGTGCAGCCCGTCCTCCAAACAAAGATCCAAAAGTGATTCCATGCACCCGCCAAACCCCCTGTTTATGAATGAAAAGCGGTTTACACACGACTCGCAACTGTTGACGTTCGAACATATCCGGAACAAGTGCTTCACTGACGAATTTTGTTCGAATCACAACGCTATAAATGCTTCACTCACGTACTACAAATACAAATAATCGCCACCAGGACCTAAACACTTGACCTAACCTATGCCTATATATACACAATATGCTAATATATTATAATATTAATTTATACTTGAGAAAATTCCCGTTTTGAATGAACAGCATGTTAAAATATATGAATGCGTCTGTGGGGCCGACCGTTGGATGGAATGGACTTGAGTCGAGGACGGGTTGAGTTGTGAGTCGTGTGTAAATCGTTTTTCATTCATAAACAGGGGGTTTGGCGGATGCATGGAATCACTTTTGTGTCTTTGTTTGGAGACGGGCTTGCTGGTGCTCTATGTGAGCCCCGAGCCAGATGTGTCACCTCTCGAGCCAGATGTGTCGCCTCTCGAGCCAGGGGGAAGGAGGCCCCCGGGAACCAAACAGACTTCTAATTTGTTCCTAATTTGCATAAACACCGCTGAATATTAGCTCAACTCCCCCCCCCCCCCCCTCCCTCCACAAGCTGTTTTTGTAGGTGTGTGTCGCCCGCACCAAGTTGCTGTGAGCTGCCAACACCCCCCCCCCCCCCCTCGACCCCCCCCCCCCCCCTCGACCCCTCCCCCTCTCTCTCTCTCTCTCTCTATTGAAGTACCCGTTGAAACTACGAGCAAGACCTGGTATCCTACCTCAGCTCAGTATAATCCTACCTCTAACGTTCATTAGCCTGTTATATGCATCATTAGGAATACACTTTATTTATCTCTTAACAACAATCATATGAGGAAGAGGATGAGCCTGTAGCCTACTGTGTGCCAGAGTCTGCATGTGATCAGTTGATCTGATCTCCCGTGTGTCAATCTGTTGAGCGAACAAGTTCCAGATGCGAGTCAGTCTCGGAGTGATGTTCTTGAGAATGGTACTTCCAGCATGAGACTGTTGAAGGTTGAGAGCCTGGTGCTACGGGTGGCAACTACTGGTATTCCACGGAGTTAGGCCAGGTGCGGAACTTAGAGGATGATGGCCTTGTATATAACAATAAGTCTACCAACGTCACGACGGTTTTGCAGAGTCTGATGTTCAGACCGTTCCCACCAGACATGGCCAAGACTAGAGATAAGCCTTCTTGCACGGCTCTCCACTTTGTCCAACACTCTGATGAATGATGGGGGGGGGGGCAGGCGATCCAGGAGAGGGGTGTATACTCTAGATGGGAACGAATTTGTGCTTCATATAAGGTTTTGCATTCCCTGCTGTCAAGGTGTGAGATGCGCCGTAGAGCTGTAAGTTTCCTGGCTGCCTTTTGAGCTAAGTTAAGCACATGGCTGTTTATTGTCATTGAAAAGTCGAACTTCAATCCTAAAATGTCTATTTCATCTGTGAACTCTGTTTTTTTTTTTGCCGCACATTTGCAAGTCTGTCCAATTTGTCATGTGCAGTCAAGTTATCATCATCGCTTGTCTCCTCAGCCGCCAATGTGACCTGCTATCTCCTACCCCAGGTAGAAATTGCTGAAAGTTGATGATTGATGAGTCTTGCAGCAGTTGGCATTTCTTCCTTTCCGTAAGTAAAGGTTAGAGTGCAGTCATCAGCACAGGCTTGAGCTTCAGGAATGAGACGAAGTTAACATTCCACAGGAGAGGACCAAGCACACAGCCCTGTGGAACGCTGGCACCAATTACTTTGGGATTCTGCTCCATTGAGAACTACTCTTAAGAGTCCGTTCTTGAAGGCTGACTTTTAATAACTAACGTAGAGCCTGAGCTGCTCAGTGCCTAAAGCTTTCTCTCTCTCTCTCTCTTCTCTCTGCCTCTCTCTCTCTCTCTCTCTCTCTCTCTCTCTCTCTCTCTCTCTCTCTCTCTCTCTCTCTCTCTCTCTCTCTCTCTCTCTCTCTCTCTCTCTCTCTCTCTGATGCAGGCGACGCTGGGAGGGGGACGATGTACTACACAGAGAAGGGAAAGAGGAGGGGGTGGTGGGGGAGACATGACAGTGGAGGGTAACACTCCTTCAAATAATCGGAAAGTGTAAGTTACAATGATGCTGGGGGCAGATAAGGTCTTCCCCCTCCCTCCCCCCCCCCAGCTGAGCCATCTTGGCACTTATGGCACAGTGCCACAGGAATCAAGCGCCCCGGCTCGTCAGAGGGGGTCCGTATACACCCTTCTTACTTCACAGGACCTACGTGAATGTAAATTAAAGTCAGTATTCATGGCTGTGTCTCCAGCTGTGTCGGGCTGCTCCTCTCTCATATATATATATATATATATATATATATATATATATATATATATATATATATATATATATATATATATATATATATATATATATATATATATATATATATATATATATATATATATATATATATATATATATCTTCCTGCGCAGCTGTTTTCATTTGGAATCTAGATACTGTAAGATAACCATTGAGCCATATGGTGTTAGGTCTATCTTCAGTCACAGGCAAGATAACAGCAACCAAGGGGGTCACAGTATGAGACGTTATCAAGTAACGCCCCCCCCCCCCTCGAGTTATCACAACTGTTATCCCAAACGAGGATGTTATCAAGGATATCATTACTGCATGAGTAGCCAAGGTCACACAAGATATCATGACCTCCCCCATTGTGTGCAGAGAACAAGGTCGGGGGTCAATTGTAACAATGGTGAGGAGGGCCGGTTTGTGATGTTCACTATCACCTAGGACCCCCCTAATGGCGTTCAATATCACCCAGGACCCCCTGATGGTGTTCAATATCACCCAGGACCCCCTGATGGTGTTCACTATCACCTAGGACCCCCTGATGGTGTTCACTATCACCTAGGACCCCCTGATGGTGTTCACTATCACCTAGGACCCCCTGGTGGTGTTCACTATCACCTAGGACCCCCTGATGGTGTTCACTATCACCTAGGACCCCCTGATGGTGTTCACTATCACCTAGGATTGTGGATTGCTGAACTCCCTCTGAAGTTGCGAGTGTTAGTAAGGCGTTTATAGTGTCACGAGGTAAGGGCATCCATATTCATGCTAGCAACTGCACCTCGTCTAGCTAAATCCCTCCCTAAATGCCTGTGAGACTCCCTAAATCCTTGAGGGACTCCCTCCCTAAATCCAGGTAAAGCAGACATTCATTTACAAAGAGAACGGACGCCTCGTAGAGGGGTGACTCGCATGAACTGTGCCTTGTTGCTATCAACACTCCATACTCCTGTCATTACTTCTGTAGGCTCTCGGCCATGTCGCAACTGGTGATATTGCACAGTTTCAAGCGAAGGATAGACTTGTGTGTGAATGAGCTTGAGTAAGATAGACAAAGGAGCGTCAATGCTGACGTTTATCGAAAGGTTTGTTTGTTGTTTATTGTGTGTGTGTTGGTGAGTTAGACTTGATGTGAGCACTCTGGTGGTCAATGTTGATGCTTTTTCTCTGTCACAGGTCCAGGCCGGGTGCACAATAATTTACCACCCATAACTATGCAGTGATAAAGCTTTCCATTATATTATACATGATTAATTTTTTTGTTTGAGTTAAAACTAACATAGAACTACGACCAAACCTACCCAACCTAACTATCATAACCTAACCTAACCTAAACTAATATAATTAAGACAGCAATTCATGTTCTTAATATTATAATAAATTCACATTAATTCAAATAAACCAATTGGATTTTTTTTTAAATAACGAAAATCACTCTGCCTATTAGACAAATCGGGCCTTGCATACTAGGCCAAGTAGTGCATTCTGGCTGTTGTTGTTGTTAAAGATTCGCTACCTGGAACAGTTCCAAGTAGTACGGGCTATGGTGAGCCCGTGGTGCCTTATTCTGGCTGTTAGGTACGACATATATATATATATATATATATATATATATATATATATATATATATATCACTTCCTTATCACGGCTATCACTTCCTTATTGTCCGGTCGTGATGGTCAAGCGGATTAAGGCGTCCCTGTACATACCAGTTGTGGGAGTATGGGTTCGAGTCACTTCTGGGGTGTGAGTTTTCAGTTGTATATAGTCCTGGGGACCATTCAGGCTTGTTTGCATATATATATATATATATATATATATATATATATATATATATATATATATATATATATATATATAAATATACTAATTAACATAATAACGTGCAAGCAGAATAATGAACTAACGGGACAACAGTCTAACAGAAAAGCGGAAAAATAGGAAAACGGACTAACAAAATAATGGGATAACAGTGTAACACACTTAAAGAATAACAGACTAACAGGACGACGGACTAACATAATAACGGACTAACAGCATTTTTGGATCAACAGGTGTTTCGTTAATCATCAAGGAGAAAACCTTCAACACACGCAGCAAAACATGTGCCTCACTCAGAACAACTCCAGGAAAAACATTCTCAGTCTGTATCAGAAGATTCAGTTATGCCCAAACTATGCTTCCCCCTCACAAGAACCTGACGGCCATGAGTGCTTG